CACACTGCCCATAGAATTTGGATCCGGGTCGCTGCGATGAGGGGACCCCGAAAATAGCGTTATTTCCCCCAACCAACCAGCATCTATCACAGACGCCCGAAACGGAGACTTGTGGCCCCCGAGATGTCTGGCCCTTCGTCATTCTCGCTGAGATCTAGAAAAGGCGGCTCGCGAGGTGGCAAGCTCGTCCGGGCCGCTGTGGGCGCGACTGCAGGAACCGGAACCGACCCTGCAAGATGCAGGTCGGCGGCATGGTGAGGCAGTACACTGGACTCGCTAAGCCCATCGTCCACTACGGCAGCAACCTGGGTTGTGATGTGGTCGAATGAAGTCAGACTAAGGGAAGCGCGGAAACGCGGAGCCATACTCTCTTGAGCGACAGAGCGTGAATAGGCGGGCATATGGAGACGGAAGAGGCACGAGTGTCCACCTTCCCTGCCCCCTTCCTTGCATCTCGTCCTCGTCCTCGTCCTCGTCCTCTTTCTGTTTATTGACGATGTCTCCATCCATGTATCAAGAGTTGCATTCCCACTGCTGAGCCCCCAACGGCACCCTCACTGATTTTAGCTTTTTTCCTTTCAGCTTTGTCTTTACATTTTGCATATTTCGTCCGATTGCAGGGAATAGCCTCTTTCTTTTCTCGTCTTTGGGGCTGAAGCTTTCTGCAGCTTATTCTTTTGGAATTATCGGATCATACACCTTCCAGTGTCGTGTTCTATTTCTTTGCCTAATGCTTTACATCTGGAGATGCAGGCCGTCTCGTAATAACTTAATAGGCTCTTTCACATCACAGGTTCGCTACCTACTTTCCTTCTCCCGCCACTCACAAGCCTTTGGGTCTTGACCTTTTTCGAAACATCCAAGAAGACACAGAGACTTTTTACCTTGGTGCCTTTACTTACACTTATCAAGACTTAGTTCGCTGTCGGTAGACCGTATGAAGGATGGGATCTTCAGCGAGGTAATTCAACATTTGCAATCATGGAATACGTGACGACGCTGACATCGAAAACTTATAGATGTTCTCCCATACCATGGCCCTCAAGCCTCTGCTTCTATGGACACTCATATTCACTTTATCGGTCACCGTCACCGCCACATCCTTCAACCTCTCGAGCGAGATTACAAGATTCATTCCGACGTGCGCCCGTCAATGCTTCCGCTCTCACCTGAGCGCCAATTACGCCCTCACTACCTGCGGTAGCGCGCCGACGCTGGAATGCCTTTGCGCTAATGTTGGGTTCACGGGGCTCACGATCGGGGAGGGTGCTTTTCAATGTATCGTCGCCGAGAAGGCCATCGGCTCTTGTCGCGAGAGCGACTCACCCCGTCAGTCTCAAGTCTCTCCATGCATGACACACAATAGCTGACTTTGATCAGAGACTGTAATTGACGCAGCTTACTTGATGTGCTCGAACCTGCCTGGGGCCGTTACTCCTACGCACACAGCCATCATTGCAACGTTGATTCTGCCATCAACGGGGGCAGGCATCATCATAGTCCCTGCACCATCGACTTCCGCGGTGGTCTATCCCACTTCCACGACGAGGCACCTCACAACGACCTCCATCCCGACAACGCTGATCACGGCAACGGGCAGTGTCTCTGTACCAAGCCCATCGTTCTCTACCATTACAAGGTCGAACACGTCTGTTATTTCGACCACGAGCTCGACAACGACTAGCACAAGCACCACTGCTAGCACCAGCACCACACCGCTGCCTCCGCCACCAGCAACCACAGTAGCCACAACGACTCAGTCTGCTTCAGCAACTGCCGTCCCCGGCGCCGAAGAATCCAACTCAGGCTCCTCGGAGCGACTCGGAACGGCTCAGGTGGCAGGTCTAGCGGTTGGTATTGCAGCAGCCGTGGGTATCGCGATCCTCGCGATCTGCCTTGCTCGTCGCAAGCGCCGCAGAGACTATCCAGATGTCAAGACTGGCTTCTTCCCCGTGCGTGAGAAGGACTCCTGGGAATTCCATCCACAAGAGGGCCCAGCGAACATCTTTCACATCTCCCCGCCCCTGCACCATGCCCGATCGCCATCGCCGCCACTTCAACCGCCCCCGGCGGCTCGTACCCGCACAAGTGCCCGTACAAGTTGGTGGCCTGGGGCCATTGGCCTCGCCATCTCCAGACCACAGAGTACAGGCACACCGAAGTTGCCGCAACAGCAACAGGCACGCCCGACGTCCCGTCTCCTTCCCGCTAAGCCGTCCCTATCATCCCCCAAGCCGGTTCTATCCATCAAGATCCCCAAGATCGACCTGTACTCTTCTTCCCCTCCTCAGCCTCAGGAGCAACAAGGTCCTTCACAGCAGACAAACTCCCAGATCCTGAACGAGAGGACAGCCAAGCTCACGGCTCCACCGCGTACGCACTACAACCTCCCCCGCGAGAGCACGATGACCGAGTTCGAGGAGGATGGCGCACTCACATCCGCACCCGTCACATCGGCCCGCTCCCAGCGATCGAACAATATCTGGCGCCCTCCGTCAGCGGCGACCGGTAAAACACCCCAGTCGGCGACGACGTACTATGTTGCCGACAAGAATGGCAACTGGGTGCTGGGTGACCCCAAGAGCGCCACTCATATGGCTCAGCTCGCCGAGCTCGATGCCTCGGGTGCAAGCGCGGGTGGTGGAGCGAAGTCAAAGCCCTCGTACGCAGAGTCTGCCATGCTTGCGGCGACAGCTTCGAAGGCGGGCATTGGTCATGGAGCCGGGAGCCCAATCGCTCCCACGGCTCCCCGAATGCCGATGCCTCCTGCGCCGGTGCTTCTGCCTGCAGCAGAGATCGTTCCTTCCAACCTCTCTGCCCCGCACCAGTCTCGCTCCTCGAGCGTCTATTCCCAAAATACCACCCGCCCCAACACCACTTTCCAACCAGGCGTTCCTCTGCCAAACGGCGCCTCTCACCCCGTGCCGAGCATGTCCTTCTCCCACCCAGAGCCTCCCCGCCGTCGGAGCAACTCTCTCGGGCGCCGCAGCTCGTCAAAGTCCAAGCAACCACCTGCAGCCGCTTCGTCGGTTCCGGTTCCCTCAGCCACCGCTGCTACACCCCAAGTGAAGGCTCCCCAACGCTCCGACAGCCACGACTCCCACGTTTCTCAAGCGTCAGTGACGACAATCGCCTCATCCGCGGCAACAGATCCCGATCCCATCTTGGAGCAAAGCAATCTCTCTCCCGTCGTCGAGTCACCAGCCTCAAACACGTCCCCTACAGGCCGCTCGCCAGTCTCATACCCCGTGATTCCGGGCCGCACGTCCTCAAAGCCGGGCAACAACCTCCGGCTTCTTGCCCCTCCCACACGGCAGTTCGCCGCCCTTCCACCGGGTCAACCCAGTCCCACGCTCGGCATGCTACAGCAACAACAGCAGCAGCAGCAGGCCCGCGGACCGTACATGGCAAGCTACGACGTCCCTCGCAAGCCCATCGCCCGGCCGCGCCCCAGCGCAGACCCCAACAGGATCGCCACCGGCTCGCCCTCCCTCCGCCTTGTCACCCCCTCTCCCCCATCAGACACGGAGAGAGACCAGTCTTCTAGACCTCCGCAGATGAAGCCTCTCTACCCTCCCCCTCTACAACCCCAGCGCCCCCGTCTCGAACGTGGTGACGCCCACCCCCAAGCACAAACGGCACAGGTGCAGCAGATGCCCCCCAACGTCGAGCCGCAATCAGCATCCGTCTACAAAGCTCTCTGGGGAGACGCTCCCCGTCCACTTCCCGTCCCTCCCCAGCAGAACCACCCGCAACCTCCGCCCCGAAGCCACCGCCGCATCTCTCAGCAGCAGCAGCAACAACAACAACAACAACCAAATAGCCAGTCCTTCCAACAGCGAGCCTCACGCCAATCCCTCCAGAACCTGCCCCAGCAGTCACCGCCTCCTAAACAGCCCCTCCCCGCCCGCCCTTCCGCCTCTCCCTCGCCCTCGCCCCACCACATCGCAACCCAAACCCTCACCGCGCCCCTCCGCCCAGCCTCGGAGGCAGCCTCCGTCGCGACCCCCCTGTCGACGACGTCCTCCCTCCTCTCCAAGCGCCTCGGCACAGAACGCGCCGCCGCCCTCGCGCCCCTCCAGCACAACGCCAACGGCGGCACGCGACACAGCCCAAACTGGAGACCCTATCGCCCGGGCGCGGGAGGCGACATGCTCTTCTCCCCCGACGAGTTCTTCCCCGCGCCCCCCATCCCGGGCGGCGGAGATGAGAACAGAGGCGGTGGCGGACTGCCTGCGACGCCGACCTGGCAGCCGAAGCTGACGCCCACGAGACGGGGCGACGATTTATTCTTGAACGTACAGTAAAGATGATGGACGAGATGAAAAAAACGATGCTTTCATTTCAACCCCTTTTTATATGCATTACGAAGACGAAGATTTCTATTTATACCCACTCTCTACGAGACTCAGCACGCACGCAGCTTTTCTTTACCTGTCTGTAAAATTAGCTACATCTTTTTTTCCTACCCTCTTTAGAACCCGTTAATATGAAGCAAGAGGAGAGACACGAGATGGGTATAGAGGCAGTCATAGCATTCATGGAGTTGGTTTCGGAAAAAGGATCTGGCATTCTAACTCTTCCCAATATGTCATGTACACTACCTCTACCACAAGTCCAATCTTTCCTTAACCCAATTCTATTTTGAAAGTCTTTAGGATTCGTGCCACAGTCTGCCTCGAAGTGATGTTTCGCCCGCCTTTCAGTCTCGTTTGTTGCGGCCTCTTCTATCGCGTCTTTCTTGTCTCAAATTGCGTCCTCCGTCCTCTCGATGATCCGCGTCACGCGTCACTCCAAGCAAGTTCTCATTTTCCTCTTCTACTGATTGACCTCGGAGACATTCTCGCTCACTATAAACGTCATCAGGCACTCGAAGATGACGTTTACTAGGTTCGAGTCTTCGATCAATGACATCCATCTCGATTGATGATTGACTGCCACTGTTGCTGTTCGTACTTCTGTGGTGGTGCCGCGAGCGCCGGCTTTCTTGGCTGCGCCGGCTACCTCTCCTGAGTATGTCCTTGGCATCGTTTACAATGTCACTCACGATGTCGCTGAGTTGATCGTCGAGTGCATCCAACCCAGCATCTAAAGCTGCCCTGTTGAGATGTGCGCTGGCGTCAATGAGCCTGTTTCTTTTTCTGATCTCAGTGAAGCGAGACATGCCTCCAAGCTCGAGAACATTGACTCGGCGAGTTTTGCTGGTTGGGTTACCCACGATAAAAGGCCGCCATGGCTCTTCCTCTGCGAACAGAGCTTTCTCATCGATCTGCTCTTCGGGTATCGACTCGCGACGCTTGAGAGATTCTTTGCGGGCGGTGTTCCACCTGTCCATCTCCTCCGTCTTGGACTCGGGAATGATTGTGACTTCTTTGAAGCGAATGAGGACGAGGAATAGGAGTACTGTCAAAATCAACAATATGCCAGCAACAACGCCAGTAGATACCCTTTGCCCAAGGGTTCTTTGAGCCATGCTGCCGAGTCCAGTGGCTCCAGCGGCAAACACGAAGCCAAAAGTGTGACAGATGGCGAACCCAGCCGTGACACGTGGAAATGCAGAGTAATTCTTCTTTCTTTGAGTGTCTGAGTTGCCGCGCGGTCGACCAGTCATGCCAGGCTGCAGGTCTGAAGTATCAAAGGTTTCCATGATGATTCCGTTGCATTCTGATATCGCCAGACATGATAAGAATCCAATGACAGCCGCAAGAGTAGCTGGCGCGCTTGGATGGAGAGGAGGTCCTCCTGATACTCCGGCGTAAACAATGCCTGCCAGTGGAAGACCAATGGTGAAGACGGTCCGGCGGAGCAGATGAGAGGTCCACGTTATTTGTTTGTCGAATGTCATGCGGCTAGTGTTGACTTGAGTATGTCTCGCTCTTGAGAAGTAGCTGGCCTTTTGGAACGGAATAGCTGCGATGGCACCAAAAGCCAAGGCAGCTACCATCAGTCCGACATAGGGCGACCGCATTTTGTAGAATCTTGAAGACAACGAACCTAGTAGAACGATGATGAGAACGACTTGTGCGTAAATCCAGCCAGAGTAGACTGCGATGACGGCGAAACCAGGTTGACGAAGCATCTCAAGAGAAAGAGCGATTCCATGATACATCTCCTGGCCCCACCATTTCGGGCCATCTTTGACACGATGCATCATGACTTCGCCTCGTGCGAGTCTTCGAGAGACATCTGTACCTGTTCTCACTTCCACAACAGATCGTCGAAATGCGGATCGGCGGACTTCCGGGCATAGGGTGTTCAGCAACAACACGACAGCGATGAGGATCACGCTGAGATAGAAGCCCCAGGCTGGTTGTAGATCATCAATGACCCAGGCGCCGATCCAAAATCCAAAGCCAAGAGAGGCAATAAAACACCATGTCCAGATGCCGAGCCAGACTCCCATACCACCTCCGTGTCTCCTTGAGTCGTAATCGTCGACAACTTCTTGATGAGGGTTGCTGCTCATGAGAGATGCACCGAAGAGGTCCGTCAATATGGAGTGAAAGTTCATGCTTGCAAAACCAAGGCACATTCCCATGACGCACCGAGGCGCAAGCAACACCGTTCTCTATTCGGTGAGATTCTCGAATCTTTGGGCGTACACGGCCACAGCCTGCGGGAAAAGCAGCGGCATGGATAAAACCAAGCCGGATGTGATGTATGGCTTTCTTCCGTGAACAAGGGGGAGAGGCCAGCAGAAGAATGTCGGAAGAGCCATACCGAGAAAACAGCCAACATTGCCGTTGAGGATAGTATGGCCAGAGTCCCAAATGTAGTATTGAAGCGACGGAACCAAGCCAGCGTATATTCCAAGCAGCACTCCGATGAGCGCGGTGCTGATGCACGCAACTGTTGCAACGGCCCTCTTGCGAATAGGAGACCAGTCTCGAGCAATAGGTTGACGACGCTTCGACTTGGGCAAGTTGAAGGCCTGAAAGCCACGTAGACTGACGTGTGACTTGCCGCGGAGACTGATGCCACGAGGATTATGTAACGGACGGCCGGCAATGTCTCGCTCTGGGAAGTTCGCCTCGCCGCCAGTGTTGCGAGACTTGAGCGGATTATGCTTGGCACTGGCTCTTGGACGAGATGGTCCTCCATTCCTATTCCGAGTCTCGGGCTGAACTGAAAAATCAACAAACGAGGAGTCATCTGACCTATCCATGCTGCACACGTCTGAGTGTTCGCGTAATCTTGTAAGTCGCTGCGAATCTGTTCGGTTTATGCTCTTCTGGCTTTTCTTTCGACTCGAGACCCGCTCTGGTACAGCGGTAGCTTGGCGTGGACGCCTCTTCCGCCGTTTATTCTTTTTGGTTTTGTGAGCTTCGAGAGCCTCCTCGAAAACAACTGACTGTGGGGTGAGAGAGATGTTTCTGTACAGATCATCGACGAGCTCTCGAGCCCGATGATCGATATTTGGGTACGTGGCTGCACGTTTGGCCAGCGAATGGATCTCCTGGTTGTTATTGTTGTTGTTGTTGTCCAAGTCAACGTCCGAGAAGTCATGGCTGCGGCGGCGAGGCCTTGTCTGTGGCTCTACGTCGTCAGAGAGATTATGTGGAGATCGCCCCGAGTACGGGGACCTTTCTTCTTCGTGGTCGGCGACTTGCGACGCCAAAGTCAATGCTTCATGCAAAAGCCGTTCCAGCTCCCCAAAAGTCCTCTGGAAAAGGCCTGCCTCAACCTTTGAAGGTGGCAGGGTAGACTTGCGAGTCAATTTGCGGGAGATTGGGCTGGGTTCCGGTGAGTCTTCCAGTCGCATGTAGGATGACCGTTGAGACCTGGAAGGCAGCTCCGTCAGTCTTGTAGGCCGCTCTGGGTTCTTCAAGAGGTCGCGAATCCACTGAGCGGTTCGTTTGTAGTCAAGCGTTCCGGCCCTGGAGCGTGAGGCACTCTGGGCTCGTGACTTGTCGCTTTTCGGGGGTTCTTCATCTGCAGAAGCTTCAGATCTATCGGCAAAGTACTTGTCCTGCTGGTCATAATGCGCGAGATCAGTGTATGGCTGTACTTTCGAGGTCGGTGGGTGCCCTGGGGTTCGGTTCAACAAAGGAGGTTGGGCAACTGAACGAACTTTCGAAACGGGAATGTTCGTGTGCCCTCCTTGAACGTAATCCTAATCCGATATGGGTGATCCAATGACGCCGATCTTGGATTCCTGGTGTTCCTTTGACGAGTCGAACGGCCGCACCTTGGAAACACCCAGCGAAGCCTGTTGGCTGATGGTACTGACAGGATTGCCTGGGTTTGCCGGGTCGACTGGATAGTGGAAGGTGGGTGTGTTGAAGGCCGGCCGAACTTTCGTAGCACGACTATGGCCCTCCACTTTGGGAGGAAGTGTGATTTCGACAGTTGAGAGACAATTGTCGTCACCCGTCATGGCGCGTTTGACACGCGCAAGAATCACCGTTGGCTCCGACTCCTTGGATGGATCTGACTCATCGTCATCTTCACCTTCATCTTCGGGAAGCTGAGCCACAGGCTGGCCAGGCACTCCAGTGTCGCAAAAGTCAGCACCCTTTAAAAGACCTCGGTGATGGGCTTTGATGTTCGATTCATCGGGGTGGAGCTCAGGATCGACGCAGATCCTTTCTCTGGCATGTGAGGAATCCGATTCGGTCGCAGACGAGGTGCCTTCTTGAGAGTAGTTCCTGGAGGGAAGTGATGCCGTAGCTTTGTGCTCATACCCCTTTTCCTCGGGCGTCTTTTCCTTGACAACCTTCTCGAGCGGCTCGTCTGGGTTGATTTGCTGGCTCAAGACGGGAGGTGCAGGCAAGTCCCGGTCAACGACCATTGGGCGTCCAGAGGCAGTCTTGAGGAGGGCATGGCGGAAAACACCGCTCCGGGCAGACGAAACGGAATCGACGTCTTGTTCCGGCTTTTTCAGAGACATGTCGGCCATCGACGGGCGAAGACTAGGAGAAGGGGTGTTGTCAAAGTCGCCAGTCGCTTCGGGAGATGGGTGGAGGTCAGCTGTCTTGGTGGGGTGGAAGAAGTTTGACAACATCGCCGGCTTCTTCTCGACAGGCTGGGGCTTCAAGGCCAGTTCGGCCTGAGGCGTGCAACAGAATTTGAAGAAGGATGTGGGGGTTGAGCTAGACGATTGGTTTCGTGTCTTTTTACCCAACGTTTCGGCAGAGCTGTAACGTCGAAGAACGGATTCCTTGTAGGCCAAAGTACTTGGGTCGGTCAGACGCTGAACCTCTGTAGGAGGAGTGAGGGACCGAGTCCTTTGGGCCTTGCGCATAGAACTAGAAAGAAAAATGCATCAACGGATGAACTAATGTGGTTCTGATAAAGATACCGGCAGGAGGGATATAGGAGGTTCTGGCAATAGGAGAAAATGGTCCGGTGCTGAGGAATCGAGGAGTTCGGGGAGATGTTGTTGGGGAAGTGGACGGTCAAGCATTCTCATGCAACGACGAATGATTAAGGAGACTCTCCTTAGAATCATTGAGAGCATCGTTGCCGCAAGCCAATCGCTCTTGCCTTCTCAGCTCCTTCTACCGCAAAGAGCAACTGATGAAGCTTCCAACCAACCCGCACCTGCCCTCTGACTATCAAGACATGTACCTCGATGTGCTGACCTAGAATGTGGAAGGACCGATGACATTTTGGCCCTTGTTGAAGAAAGTGCTGGCTGCAGCACAATCTGTCTGGGAAGCCACAGCCTTGCCATGCTAAAGAAGGGCGCCGCAATATTCTGCCAGTAACCACCTGAGCTTGTCCCGATCTGAAAGCAATGCGGGTGTGTCCCATTGGAAATGGACTTCGGCAGACAGTCATTTGTACGCCGGCGTGTGACTCACAGTTCTTGCCCCTAAGTGAGGAGAAACAGGCCCGACTCGAACATGGCGAGAGAAGCATCGTAGTATGGCAGGTGCATACAGCGCATATAGATCAAATACAAATAATGAAGAAATCTGATAAATAATCGCTCATCTCCCTCTCATGAGAATGGTCTTCAATTCTTCGCCAAGCTTGACTTCAAGGCAAATGAGCGTCTGTAGATGGCCATAACCTGATGGTGAGTAAGATCTGGTCCTTCGGAATAACCCCAAAAATGATGACTCTGGATTCACTCGCCGAACTGAGAATATGCTATGAGGACACCTATCCGTGGCATTGGTTTCGCCCAGTCTGATCTCTCAACTTGAGAACCCCAACGAGATAAGGAACAGCATGAGAACCCCTGAGATTGGCTGACGTTCGATTTCCTCACTCGAGGTTCATAGTGTGTTCTGAGGGTCGCCGACAATTTCCAGGACCCGGCAATCGATCAAAGTGATGGCAGCCAAAAATAAAAAATGAATTACACATCTTTGTGCGACTGTAATCGCACAGAGTGAAGGTGAGCAAGGAGAGGATCACGCTGCACTGATGTGGAGTTTTCAGCAGCAAATGCTCTAAAGACACACCAGGGGCGTGCAGACGTTACCCCAGATCAGGCGGGGCCCCGGTCGGCGACAACCTGCGACATGCCTCGGCAACTCGGTCAGCGTTGTCAGCTCGAACCTCATCGCACTCGCAACCACAGCTTTCATCCATACTTTGCTATTGAACATCAAGATTCAAACCCTGCATTTATCAGCCCAAGAGCCGCATTCGCAGTCTCTCAGCCCCCAAGCATATTCGCAAACCTTCACAACGCGTCGCATTCTCTCCACCCGCGGGACCCAACTCATCTCACCATCACAGGCCACCACCAAATCTCACTCTCACCCGTCCTCCTCCCGCAAAAATGGCCGCCGCCACATTCAAAGACTACATCTACGAACACTTCCTCGTCACCGCGCCGGCCCCCTTCGTCGTCCACGTCGAGATCAACCGCCCCAAGAAGCTCAACGCCTTCTCGGAGCCCGTCTGGCGCGAGTTCGGCCCCCTCTTCAACCGCCTCAGCCATGACCCCGACGTCCGCGCCGTTGTCCTCTCCGGCGCCGGCGACCGCGCCTTCTCGGCCGGCCTCGACGTCCAGTCTGCCAGCGAGGGCACCCTCGGCAGCGCCATCGGCGGGGACATGGACCCGTCCCGGTACGCGACCATGATGCGCCGTCACATTGTCGAGTTCCAAGCCGCCATCGATGCGGTAGAAAAGTGCGAGAAGCGTATGTTAAAAAAAAGTCCCTGTCATTCATTCGCTACTATTTCCATCCCGTCCGATTTTCCGTTGCCATGTCCATGACAGAACGAGAAGAGACGACAGAAATCTGTATAGCTAACATAATTGAAAGCCGTGATCTGCGTCCTGCACGGAATCTCTATCGGAATCGCAATCGACATCTCATGCTGCGCCGACGTCCGCATCTGCGCACGGAACACGCGCTTCTCCGTCAAGGAGGTCGACATCGGGCTGGCGGCCGACCTCGGCACCCTGAGTCGCCTGCCCAAGCTCGTGGGCAGCACGTCGTGGGTCAAGGACGTCTGCCTGTCGGCCCGGGACTTCTCCGGCGAGGAGGCGCTGGCGGTAGGCTTCGTCAGCCAGGTGCACGCGGACAAGGCCGCCGCGCTCGACGCGGGGCTCAAGCTGGCGGGCTTCATCGCCGGCAAGAGCCCGGTGGCGGTGCAGGGCACCAAGGAGCTGCTGAACCACGCGAGGGATCACTCGGTTGCGGAGAGTAAGCACTGTCCCGAATCTTTCTTTCTATATTCGTCTTGTTTTCTATCTTCGTTTGATGAGTTGTCTACTGACCAGGGCACAAGGTTTGCGATACACCACCGTCTGGAACGCGGCCATGCTGCAATCAGGCGACTTCAAGACTGCTATGATGTCCGGACTGACCAAGACCAAGCCCACGTTTGCCAAGCTCTAGAACACACTTGCGCCCTTTGCAATTGTCAAAATCCACCATAAGCAAGCCGGATTATTCAACACAGTAGATTCTTATGGCATGCTTGCTAGAACGCCGGGACACTGGCTGCCTTTGGGAAGGCACAGTCGCTATGTTGAGGGGGTTTCATCCCATCCTGATGTATTATAGAGCGTCGTCACGCCTCCGTGCCAGGTTGGCGTCGTCGTGTAGAGGGTCATGGCGGTCGTAGACACAGCCACGGTCACATGACGGTACGACGCAACGACGAAGGCAGATATAGAGAGTACGGGGATCTCCGGAAAGATATAATATAACCAACTCATGCTCAAGCGATCGGACTTGTCGGCAGTTGCTCAATCAGAGTCTGAACTTTCGTCGGGCTGTTGCGTCTCCTTCAATTTCTATAGGCAAGTCGTCAGCAGGTTGTCTCAAGTAAGCGTTGATGTGCAGCAATGTGCATCGTAAAGTGGGGGACTGCTCGTCTATGGTGGAACCTACATCGTCCAGCTGTCTCTTTAGCGCGGCGACCATGTTCTCCTTGACGACGACGTGCTGGTCGTCGAGATCCTCGATGATGTAATCATGGTTCGCAGCGTCGATGTTGACGATGATGGACTTGATGGAGGGGTCGCACTCGATGAGCACTCCTGTGAAAGTCGGAACGTCAGCAAATTGGGATACGAATGCCTTGTAGAAGGCTGCGGCGGGCGTTGTGGTGCTCACCTCGGATGGCGCGAGGCATGGCGGGTGGATTGCGAGGCGGATGATTCCAAGTGTTTGGAGTTGCAGTTGCCGGTACGGCCACAGGGCGGATTCTCGCGTAGAGTTTGACGGGAAGCGACGGGGCTGGAGTCAAGGTAAAACTGTCGCTGTTGTTTGTCGATGGCGGCGGCCGCGTGCCGGGTTGTTTCTGAGCCGCTGATGAGCTTGTGTCGCAAACGTGGCCGACGGGTTGACGTGGGTGGAATTGGATCGTCGACAAAACAATTTGGAAGCTTCAAGACTGGGGTGGGGCCTTAGGCAGGGAAGCTGACCTCAGTCTCTCAGTGTGGTGGTCACTGGTGTCAGTGCAGGGGCCCCGGGGGCCTTCGACCAGCAGGCAGGCCAGCCACTCAGAGGTGCGACACAAACTTTCCAACGGGGGTGAGAGAGATTTGGATCCTGGCGCAAGGGCCAATTTGCGAGATCCCTGACATGACACTGGGGAAACGCAGCCAGTGGCAGGCCTTCTTTTCTGTTCAGTGGTATTCACCTTTCACAAGATGATTGAATCTGCACTGGGCTGCAGCAGGTTGATGGATGAACACACAAAGTTGTGGCCCCCACATCGCAAACATCGGACGTGGGTGGATGGATGATGGATCGTCAGGGATGCTGTGGACGGGCCCTCCGTGCGGTTCCCACCTCCACTCTATCGCCTCGTCCACTTTCAGTGATTGATTGCCGTCGCTGTCTGCGGCTGTCCTTTGGCCAATTTCTTCGATATTGCTCTCGCAGGTGAGAGTTGCGCCTGGAGATGCCGACGGCACACTTTTGACGAGGACAGCTGCGAGTCGCGTCGGGACTTTTTGGGAGCATTTCAATTTGATCATGTGTGCCAACGGCCGCCAAGAAGTGGAACAAGGTTCGTTGAGTGTGATTAGACGTAGGTCAAGTTTCTTTTGACGAGGTCGATCGCCCTCGAAAATTCCCTCGACATTGTGCGCAGATTTCCGAGATGCGCGGATACCGAGGGGCGTTTGTGAAGCTTCTCATTGTGCGCAGACAGGGCATCGTGGGTGGGTGTCCCCGAGTTGCGACGTGCGAGTGCGATTCGCAGCGGGCGTTCATACGAAGTAAGGTAGCAGAGGATGCCACGACGGAAGAATTTGCAAAGATTTAATTCATAAGTCTGTTTGGCAATCTGTACTCCGTCAGTGTGAATCGAAGCGAGTGTCCCTGAAACAGCCGCGATGTGCAGTCGTCGATAGATTGCGGTGCTAAGCCCGGCGGGATTTGAGATGCACGCCGTACCTAATTAGTGAACGGTGGATACCTTCCCTAGACAGTACTTCACAGAGCCGCCATGCAGGGCGGTATCCGTACATGCAGGTACACTGGAGACTGAGATGACCCTTATCCTCACAGCAGTGCATTCGGGTCCGGGTGGGCGAGGAGAGGAGCGAGGACGACGTGGATGTGAGAGAGAGTGCGGGTGCGATGCGTAAGCAGACGCACGGCAGAGCACCAGAGCAAATGTTGGGGTGGTATTTGACATCTCGCAGGAAAGTGATGTGCAGCCTCTAGTGGACCGGTTCATCCCTTCAGCGGACGTTGTTGCTAAACACGACACGGCTAGCGCCACCCATGACGTGCGACTCCAAAATAGCCAAGCCCCGTCCCTGACGATTGGCACCCAGATTGGCAACCAGCCGACGGGGGTCATTTGCGACCCCAGGGCTTATTATCCAGCCTACCAGGTGAGGTAAAGATCAAATGCAACACCGATTTGCTATTCGTTCCTGCGCAAGTTGTATTCGTGAGAATACGTAGTATGCAGGCACGGGATAAATCGCCCCAAATCAAGTCCTGATCTCGTCGCAACGCCTTGTTCGTCCCATTCTTCAACAGCGTCCTTTCTCTCTCTCCCTCCCTCTTTCGTCTTCCCTCCTGCTTACCTTATGCTTTTCTCATCCCCCGAGCCGTTGACCGTGCTGCCTCATCTCTTGCATACCACCAACCTAATAATCCTATCTTCGTCCCTCGGCTGTGCCCTTTTCAGCTTTGCCCTGCCTTGCCTGTCTGCCTGCTTCCCTTCCTTTCGCAATCCTATCGCAATCGCACACGGCGTACCAAAGACAGCCGCACTCGCACGCACGACGGACGCACAGCCCAAGGCCGTCAGCCATGCCACCGGCGCCCTAGAAACCAGACACGTCCACGCTACTAATTAATAGTGGCCTTCTTCGTCTCCGAGAGTTTGGAATACGAATGCATCGAATCAACCTTCAAGAGTCTGACGATATCCGGCCTAGCTCCCTTCGGTAGCCTGTCCAAGCTTGTTCAATCCAGCAGTATCCGTAACAACAACCTGGCCTGGTCTCGGTTGCTTCCTTCCTGCCCCTGCCGTTGGAATTCAGGTCTCAAATCCACTTTCACTTTCGAGACCTCCGCTATTGTTTGGCATTCGCTGCCAAATATCCAATATCTCCCCCGCCACCATTTCCCGCTTCCCCAAGACTCTCGCTCTTTCTTCTTGGTCCGCTCCCTCTCTCTCGTTTCCTTCCTTTTGCGCCGTCCCTCGTTTATTCCTCGGTCTCCCTGGTACGTCAAACACCAACCAACCCAGTCGACCTGGAGATCTGCACCCGCGCGAACTGCAATCAAGGAATTATTGGGCCCTGCATAACCCACCCACATCACCGGGCAGGCACGAGCGGCAACGCGAAGTCGACTCGAGCTTGAAGCAAGCCTTTCCCTTGCTCACCAAACGCCCGTCGTCCTCAAACCTTTTCTCACCAACAGTAACACCAACAACCCTTCTTCACCATCTTTCGGCTGTCCTTCTCTCCGATCCACCCAAGCTATTAGTGCTACGGGAATCCAGACGAAACTAGCGAACCTGCGAAACTGAGCCACGCTATGAGGCCGTGAAAGCCCATCGTCGCTGCCTTTTGCATCACCATCGCTGCTACTATCCGTTCCCTGTTTCGCCCTCTGCGCCTTTGTATTACGCTCCAACTCGACACACCACCAGGGGTTCTTTCCCTTTCACAACGAGAATAGCCACCAACCAACCAACAGACAAACCAACAAACAAAACAGGGCTGCTTATCACCAACAAGCATCCCTGCCAGTCATTCACTGCGCCCTCTTACACGCCTACTTTAAATCTTCGCCGGGTTCGCCAACGATTTGGCTCGTTCTTTCCTTCTTGGTCAACCGGCACCTGCACCCCACGACACCGACCAGCACATCATGTCGTCCACGGACAGCAGCTCTCTGGGCAGCAGCGGCGAAGGCCTTGGCCTGTCCTCTGCACCCTACACCTGGATCCTCACGCCTCTCATCGTTTTCCTCTCCATCGGCATCCTCGCGACTCTTATCCAGTTCCAGCGTCGCCGCCGTCTCCGCAGGCTTGGACTGCAACGCCCGTGGCCCCGTCGCGATCTCGAAGCGAATCGTCAAAGAGCTGGAGGTCAGCGCTCATCGCGAAACGGCCGCTGGGCGTGGACCACTCGCCCCGACGAAGGTCTGGACGAGTTCGGCGAGGCCCCTCCTGCCTACGAGCCGAAAGCTAAGCCCGGTCAGGCCGTCACCCGGGATGGCAGCTTCGAGATGGCCCACGTCGAGCACATGCCCCCGCCGCCTCTCATCGGCGCGGCAGGAGCTGGCCGGGGCTCCCTGCCCCCAGACTACGGCACGGCCACCGGTTCTACGTCTTCAACACCACCCACCATCGCGACACCGCCCACTGCGGTTACGAGAAGCTAAGGGCCGAAGCTCATCCTGGGAAGCCACGGAGGGTCTCTCCCAACTGTACCAATTCACAAATCATTTCAAGGCGTTACACGGAGGTATCAAAAAAGGGGCGTTCGGAATCGGGGAAAGCACAAGATACCATGTTTGAGATTTTCTTTCCACGGGCATTAGCGAAGGAAGGGTATTGCGAAAGATGAGATATCACGAGGATCAAGACGGTGGATGATCGAGGGGGGGGGCCGAACAAAATGCGTGAGGGAGCACGCGAATAGCACCCAGCATAGGCAAATTGCCGCACTTCATGTCTATTATAGCCACTACAGTATCTGTAATTCAGGCAAATCAACCAAGCCTGATGGAAACGATGTGCGTTTTCTTTTCAAGTGTATTTACTATCGTCCCTGTCGTCGTCGTCTATTGTCGTGATCTCAACTTTCTTCGCTAACATCACCGGATGTGAGATTAATATCTGCTCGTCTAGCAATGTCCTGTTTGTTAATGGATGTTCTGATACGCCATTCTTTGAGAACCCACGTATTTTTACTGTGCCATGAGATGCACCGATCGATAGGCAGGCGTTTCCCTACAAGCATCAAATGTTCAGTGAGTTGACTTACACGGCGCCAGGTCCATCCTAGCAACCGCTTCAGCCCCCGACTTCCCGATTCGGTGGTCCTTTGGTTCACCTCCTGATCACCAAACTTCCCTTACTTCTACATTACCAGTCACAAGCTCAATTAGCCGGCTACGATGAAGAGATCACATAACTTTTCTCTGTCTGCATGGCCATGTTTCGTCTTTGCTTGATTGACTGAAGCCATACTTTCTGTAGGAGAAACATTGCACAAGACGTATGCTTGTGTGAATCAAATCATTCCGTTGCATGTTGATTCACATCCCGTTGTTTTCTTGGCCATGTCATATGGAACTGGCTTTGACGAGATCTCTTCTAACATCCTCCAATCATCTCCGGCCATACTCTTCTCGAAACCCTGACTCTCAAGTCATCCTAGAGATTCTGTCAGTCAAGTCCGACGCGAGAATAAGTGCGAATGGTGTGTCCTCCGTACCTTCATTTGGGGCGGTCCAGGCCTATCAAAATCCAGCGCCTCAAAATCCACCGTCTGGGGCTGCTCAGGAGACGCCCAAGACACCTCGTAGCACCGAAGCAAGGTCGTGAGCACCTGCTCAACGACAATCGCCGACAACCCGTCGTCGCCTCGTGTGGTGAGCTTGACCTGGGCGTCAGACGCAATGCCGCCGTTGCACACCTCGTCGAAGCTGACGAGCTTGTTCTCAGCGTTGAGCCATCTGCCGGGCATCCAGGAGTCCGGGTAGCCGCCGTCCAGCCGGGAGGAGGACCGCATGTTCTCGTAGTACCGCTCCGTCTCTTTGATGCAGGCCTTCAGGAGGGAAGAGTCGGTCTCTGCGCCGCGAGAATTCCTCTTGACGGCGTTCATGACGTCTGGGTGTCTCAAGAGCTGCAAAAAGCGTTGTCAGGAGGCGCTGTGCCAAGAGGGGGGATCATGGGGGGGAAACAAATGGCACGACTGCTACTTACGGAGATGAGGACCCAGAAAACGGTCGAAGCAACCCCGTTCTGCGAAAAGAGCATCAGGATCGTGTAATGCGCGGGGAACAGATGCTTCAGCGCCGCCGTGCCGTCCTCGTCCAGGAGGAACGTGACGTAGTCCTGCCTGTCGGCCTCGATGGGCCCGCCGGCGACGGCGACGGCATCCCTGCGCATCAGCCTCTCCATGAAGATCTCGGCGACGCGCTCCTTTGCCCAGCGCAGCCGTCGCACGGCCGGGTGGGGCAGCCAGTCGGGCAGGACGGAGGCCCACGGCTCGGCGACCTCCTCCTCGATGGCGTGCAGGAGCGTGCGGAGCTCGTCGCTCGACGGGTAGAAGTCGTCGCCGAGGAGGATCCGCACGGCGGCGTTGTGCGTCAGCTCGGATATACTGGCCAAGAGCTCTACGTCGGGCTTGGTCGTCCACTCGAGAGCGCAGCGGTGCGTCTCCTCGACGGCGCAGGCGGCGGTGTATTCCTGCGCCGGCGCGCGGCTGATGAAGCGCCGAAGAGAGCTGATCAGGCAGTCAATGTTTTGGATGTATTCTTCGTTAATGATCTTGTTGAGGAATATTCCCTGTGTGAAGAATTCGATACATGTTAGGTGCATTCCAGAAATGTCTCAGACGCAGGTTGAGGTGGCTTTCAGGGGTGACTCTCACCATTCCGCGTGTCAGCGACGACAGTGTCTCGGGCATGTTCAGGTGGTGCTTGTTGAGATCGCAGTTTTGAGGAATAAACTTCGTTGTAAACATGTTGCCGAATTGTGCGTGCAGTTTGCGATCGGAGTAGGCGGGCCTGCGTTGGCGACGCTGGGCGTCCACGGGGAGGGCAAAAGAACCATCATCTCTTGTGGTCGGTATTGTAATTGGCTTCCAGTACCACCTGAAGAAGAGGAAGACTGCCAGAACGACAAGGAGGATCAATGCCATGGTTGTCGTTGGTGATCTCGTACCAGAGAAGACTCGTATATCGCTCCGTCTGTGAAGGCCAAGGCAAGTCAAAGAGAGGGCCCCGGAAAACACTCCCACCGTCAGGGGGATCTCACAGCCTTATATCGTCAAGAAGCCTCCACCACAAAAGCCCACGAGCGGACGTCCGGGGATGACGTGAGACAACTCTGTCTTGGCAATGTTGAGCTACATTTCAGTGATGGCTTTGAAAGGACCAAAATATCTTTGAGTTGGAACGAATCCACAGATAAGGGAACATATGGAGACTTGGAAGGGAAAACAAAGCACCTCCCTGGCACACTGGAATGTGGCGACGTGGGATGTCAGACTTCCACCGAGAAAAACATGGGCTCAGCGACGGACCAATTTTCTTTCTTGGGATGTGTTGGGTGCCTTCCTCGTTGCAAAGAAACGGAACGAATTCACCGAAAACTTTCTTCAGTCGTTAAGGGAAGATGTTGGATTGTTGCCTGTTGTCTGTCCGGACGGGAGTTGTTCTATTGCCCATTTCCGTGTTTTCCGAGCCCTGCCATATGCTTTTGTGTTTCCCATCCATTCTACTTATGCCTCGACGAAGATACAGTAGTGTACAGACCCGGCAATCATTCTCGCCACGATAGGTGGTGTAACACAAGACTGCCAGGCAATGTCATAATACGCAAAACGTTGGTATCATACATGCTCATAGGACGTGACATGCTCAGAGGTGCCACTCAGGGAGAGCAAAGTCTCTGTTCTTGGGCCACTCCTCAGTCCTGCAGAACAACAGCGTTAGCAAAAGATCACAATCACAAACCAGGAGATTCTTACTTAGTGGTCAACATGACCGTCATACGCTTCCTCCTCTCGACGGTCTCCTCCGCATCAACAAGACGAAGCCACTGATCCAGCAACTTCCTCAAGTCCTTGTCACTGCGACCGGCGCAGTCGATACCGCGCTCCGTGCACGCAATGCGGACCTCCTGCTCCTCGAGCCCGGCGACGCCGCCGTCGCGCAGCAGCAGCCTGTCGTCGCCCTCCAGGAACGCCATCCTCAGACGGCCCTTGGACGCCCACATGCCCGGCGGGATGAACCCGATCTTGTCCCACATCATGCCGGGCAGGTGCAGGCTGCGCAGCACGTGCTTCTGCGCCGCGCCCTTGACGTTGCCCTTCACGACGCCCTCCGGCGCGGCCCGCTCAAAGTCCTCAAACGACTTGTGCCGCCTCTCCTCGGCCTGCGCGAAGCTCGCGGCCAGCTGCCGCGGCAGACGGCAGGTGTAGGGCACCACGCCGTCGACGAAGATGACGATGAGCGGGGTGAATTCCCCACAGATCAGCAGCACCACGCCGAAGAGCGGGACGCGGAGAATGTCGTGCCGCACGCGCCAGAGGAGCACCCAGTCCGCGCGGCTGAAGCCCTCGGGGACCAACCCCGGGGAGAAGACAGAGGGCTCGCGGAAGCCCGGGACGGACTTCTTCTTGGAGGCGATGACGTCTTGGATATGCCGCCTGTTCGCGAAGACGGCACGGAGGCCGCCCTTGTAGAAGTTGATGTACGTCTTGGCCTGCGCGAACAGGTGGGAGAACTTGCTCTGGTCGGGCTGGCGTTCGGGGAGCTCGAGAGGCGCCGGGCGGGAGGTGGCGATGGGGTTGAGCTTGGGGTTGAGGACGGCCGTCGAGCTGGCATCGTGGCTTCGTTCGGAAGTGAGGGAGCTCGCGAGGCGGCGGTAAGAGGTCGTCGTCGTCGGCTTCGCCGCGAAGGGGAGGAAGGGCGAATTGGTCGAGCAGCGGCCGCAGAGAAGGGCCGAAGCTGACGGGTTGCGCATTACGCGCAGTGTCGTCCTATGGTTCATTGCATTGGCGGTGTGGGGGTTGTGGTATGGTGTATGCGGAAAGTGATCGCGGGCTTGAGCAGCATGGGCAATTAAAGCTGTCCTGAATATCGAAATTTAGGTAATCAGAAAAAAATAGAACGGGGCCTTGGTTTCGTCACTGATTACCTACGTAGCGTGGAAAAGCTTATCGGTTATCGGCGCGCGCGTGGGTGTGCCTGCGTCGGCCCCGCTTCGCCTGCAGCTCCCGCCGCATCGGATCCGGGGAACGGTCGGCCAGAGCCGAACCAAGCTTTCCTGCCGCTCTTGGCTTATTCGTCTAGATTATTGGAAAGGGATGGTCCTTTATCGCTTCAGGTCGATCATTGCTACTACTGCGCTCTTAAGCTCAAAGTGAAGATTTGACTGGTCGGATTTGCTCGTAACTTGGAACCTGAGCCCAATAGTGTAGCCCCGTCTCCGTCGACAAAACCAACAGTGCGACAACATCGGGAATGCCGTTATTGAAAAGATCGTGTCCAAGTTCGCCCGCCACAATTACGATACTTGCTAGTGCGAAAACCTCCACAATGCTACTATCATATGAACCATTAATACCATAAGCGTATGAAGAAAATTGACGTCTCCCTGAGATTTCGCAGTTTCCTCTTTTCTCTTCCTCTTTAGCCAACGAGAATGGCAGCCCGTCTCAGACCTGCACCAGTTCCTCACTCAGGACCCTGCCCAAACCACCTTCTAAACCACCCCACAGCCTGATCCTCCGCCCGCATTCCCAAGTCGGCCTGCCTTTCATCATTCGGATCACCCCTCACCGCAAACCCGTGCTTGGCCCCAGCATATTCACAAACCTCGCAGTCCCCCTTCTTCCCTAGAATATCCTTCGCCAGCGCCATCTTGGCCCTCGGCATCATCATGTCATCGTCCCCGTTGGCAATGCTCAACGGTAGCGCCACCTTCTCCAGGTCCCCAGGCACAGACACCATGCTCGGGTGCGCGGTATACGCGATATCAACGAGCCTCTCCTCGCCAAACGGCCCGGCCGTCCCCTGCGCCAGCTGGATCGCGTACTTGCCGCCCCAGCAGAAACCCGCGACGCCGATCTTGAGGCCCTTGGCCGCCGCGGACGCAGACGTCTCGCCGCCGGCCCCGTCTGCGGAGGCGGATGTGGACGTCGACGGGCGCGGCAGCGGAGACGGCGGGTCGAGACGGAGGGCGCGGAGGAAGTTTGCGATGCGCGGGACGAGCACGCCGGCGCGCGTCGCGAGGAGGAGAGGGACGAAGTAGCGGATCATGGTGGCGGCGCCGACGGGGTAGAGGTAGAAGAGCTTGTACAGCCACGACTTCTCGGACGCGATGCGGTCGCCGACGGTGAGGACGGAGTCGGGCATTGCGTAGCCTGCGTTATCGTCAGCGCATGCTGTATCCCTCACCTCCGCGACCAAGCTGGTTCAAACGTTCCACTAGCAATCAGGAGGGGTTGAGAGACTAACCATTCATGACCTCGGGGAGCAGCACCACGGCCGGGATCCTCTTCGCATACGCATCGGCGAGGGCTCTCGTGTTGCGCAGCTTCCACCCGAACACGTCCGGGATGACGACCACGATGCCGGCCGGCTCGCGGCCCGGCTCCGGGCGCGCGACGTAGGTCGGCAGGCCGCTGACCGTCTCCTCCGTGCCCTGCGGCTCGACGTCGCCGCGGAGGGTCCCCTTGAAGCAGTCCGCGCAAAAGCGAGGCGCCTGCGAATCTGACATTGTTTCGTTCCGTTCCGTTTCGTTTCGTTTCCTCACGTGCGCGTCCCGGTCTCTTTCAGCTTTGATGGATTCTAGTTTCCTTGTAGAATGAGGATCAGCTCCCGGAAGGAATCGTGGGGCGCGGACGCTTGATCAACTCTAAAGTCGAGAATAGATTGTGTGGTCCCACGACGCTTCACCGATTAGTAAAAAAGTCAAAATAGTATGGCTTTCCTGGGAGAAAGAGCAAAGTCATGTGGGGGAAAAGCTGAGATGAAGTAGCACCAATATTGTCTGTGAAGATCGATCGCCTCCCCCCCGTCCGTCCGCAGGGCGCCACCAGATCGCATTGTCTGTGCAGAGGAATGAGCTACATCGCCACGGTAATGACGGCACACGCGCGCGCAAGCGGATGTTTGTCAAAAAGGGGAATAGGTTTCGTCCGGTGAGTGTATGTGCCTGGGAAGTCTAGCTTTAGCTAGCCTCTCCCACCAGAGATAAACCGCGTCTCAGGTCTGGCGCGGGGTTTAAAGCATCACACAATCTCACTTGTCTCTGCTACTGCTGCTGCTGCTGCCCACCTAACGCGCGGACGTCATGTCCATCACCCGAGCTGTCGCAGGATTTCCGATCTTGTACTAGCCGGCGGAGATTTCTCCGGTGGGAGACTCTCTGAGCAGAAAAAGCAAGAGGTTTGTTTTCGGGTACTGCAGACCAAACACACCTAACCCAAGAGTTGCCGCGACGGTAAGTTGTAGACGTCCGTGCCGCGCATCACGTTCCATGCGCTATCTCACCTTACCTGTTGGAGGTGTTAGTGTGAGAAGACAGCCTGCTTAGCAAATCGTCCCCCTCCCTGGATGGGTCTCCCTTCACCGAACTCACCGAGGTCTGACGTGATTGGGCAGTGGGATTTCAACACACATTTTCACCGCGGATTTCGGATGAGATGAGGTGAACGACCACTCATTCACTTCGCGATCCATTTGCTCGGTATACAGCCTCCCACACGGAAAATTTGCTTGCTTCTCATTTCTGCATCTTCACAATCCACAATTGTCTCATACAAAATAATGGTGCGTCGTCTCGGTGAAGAAGGGGAAAACGATCAAAAAAGCCCTAGACTGACACACCGAGGTGACTCAGGTCCACGCCGACGCATCCAACTTCGCCAACGGCGTCACCAAGGAGGAGGCCTACGAGCAGGTCCTCCTCCAGGCGGAAGGTCTGTTCTACGAGCAAAGAAACTGGGTATGTTCGTTCTCCTCCTTCCATCTCCAAACACTTTCTCCCTTGCAACCACGGACTAACGCTTTGATAAAGGTCTGGTACGTCAAGTCCCCCAAAATCTCACCACGCATGATGATCAGCAGCATCAAAGCATCCCCCAAAACCAACTTCACCTAACCCAAACACAGCAACCTCTCCAACACGGCCTCCCTCCTCTGGCACGCCTACCACTCCCTCCCCGCGCCCTCCACCTCCGTCAACTGGGCCGGCTTCTACGTCCTCGACCCCAAGGCGCCCGCCTCCAAGCCCGCGCTCATCCTCGGGCCCTTCCAGGGCAAGGTGGCCTGCCAGACGATCCCCTTCGGCCGCGGCGTCTGCGGCGCCGCCGCCGCGACCCTGCAGACGCAGCTCGTGCCCGACGTCGACGCGTTCCCGGGCCACATCGCCTGCGACGGCGACAGCAAGAGCGAGATCGTCGTGCCCGTCGTCGTGGATGGAAAGTTGGTCGCCATCATCGACGTGGACTGCGCGCTGGCGGACGGCTTCGACGAGGTGGACCGCGTCTGGCTGGAGAAGCTGGCTGCGCTGCTGGCGGCGAGCAGTGACTGGTGAGAGTGGTAAGATGGCATGAAGTGTGTGCGCGCGGAGTGTGAAATGAGACAGTCACAAGACGGGGGGCTCGGAGGTGTTTGAGTTTTTCATGTCAGGGCAAGGGAAAAGTTTTCAACAATTTGGCGATTTCGGGGTCATTTCATCAATGACGGTTTTGATATCATTATAGACGGGACACGGTCGTGAATAGAGAGCCCAGGCTACGGGGCCACAGGCGAAGAGAAGCGAGTGAGATGATTCAATAAAAATTTCATTGAACGCGCCCGGAGTCAACCTCCGACACAAACTAAACTTTTTTCATAGACTATTTGGCGACATCTTTGTTTTCCAATCTGCCAAACAAATCTATTGAGATCTCCTCCGACCAAAGTCCGTGATTGGCCACTTAAGAGCGTTGCCTCCCCTAAACCGTTCTATACCGAACCCAGCCTCATGATACGACCGTTTTCCCTTTTTTTCATCCGTTACTTCATCAAAAGAGGACGACAACCTTTACTCCAGAGCCTTCTTGGCAAAGTTGGGCAGGATGAAGGCGGCCTTGTGGATGTCGGCGTTGTAGTACTTGCACAGCTTCTCCTCCTCCTCGGCGGACCACTTGCGGATGGGCTCCTTGACGTTGCGGTTGGCGTCCTTGGTGCAGACCATGAAGCCGATCTGGCCGGAGGGGTAGGTGGGGATGGTGGTGTAGGCGTACTCGGCGACGGGGAAGATCTCCTTGCAGTCCTTCTTGAGCTTGGTGATGAGGGACAGGTGAAGCCACTGGTTCTCGGCTGTGCGGGTTGTTAGCTAGTCCCGTTCTTGGTACACGGATGGGGCGGGGGAGAGGTCTTGGATCAGAGCACCGCGCTAGAGACAGAGAAGTTGATTCCGTCGGAAAGTAGAGTCTCGCAACTCACGACTGAAAAAGACAATGACAAAGGAAATATTCTCATGGCAGAGAAAAAAATAAAGAAAAGCGTATCCAGGTTTCAGGCAACCCAGATCTCGCCGGCGGCCACTGGGCGCGCCGGGGGAATTTCTTGGGATGAATCGAGGACAGGCCAAAGAAAGAAGAAGCAGGCAAGTTGAGTGCCTGGTGCTGTTTCCTAAAACCGAGTACTTCCTTGATTCTCCTCGTATTTTTCTGAACAAATGGGAACGTACAACCTTGGGTAGTAATGACACCGCCCTCACGCAGAGCGTCGTGGAGGAGCTGGAAGTAGGGCTTCTGGAAGAGGGACTCGGCGGGGCCCTCGGGGTCGGAGGAGTCGGTGATGATGACGTCGAAGGTGTTCTTGTACTCCTCAAGGAACTTGAAGCCGTCGCCGACGTGGGTCTTGGACTTGGGGTGGTCGAAGCCGACGGCCATGCCGGGGAGGAACTGCTTGGAGAGGCGGATGACGGCCTATGAGGGGCGCGCCGTGTTAGTGGGGCCGAGCCGGCGCGCGGGCGTGCGCTGGGATGACCGAGATGAAGCTCACCTCGTCAATGTCGCAGAGGATGGCCTCCTCGACGGTGTCGTGCTTGACGACCTCACGGAGGACACCGCCGTCACCGCCACCAATAACAAGAACCTTCTTGGGGTTGGGGTGAGAGTTCATGGCCAGGTGAGTGATCATCTCCTGGTACGAGAACTCATCACGCTCGGTGCACTGGATGACGTTGTCGAGAACCAGGACCATGCCGTGGTCGGTGGACTCGAAGATGAGAACATCCTGGTACTTGGACTTCTCGTGGTGGATGACCTTCTTGACCTTGAGGGTCATGGCCTGGCCTGGGGAAATTCATTAACACACGAAAAGAAGCCGACGATGCTCGAGTAAGTCGACTTACCAGGCCACATGTCCGAGATCTCACGGAACCAGCCATCTGTGTAATTTTCCAGTGTGATTAGCAAAGCGGTCCCGACTCATTTGGTTTGTCGTGATGAATGAGTCGCGGTGATTGTTTTTCCAGAGGTCTGAGCTTGCCGAAATGTCCACTGCTTCTGGCCGCCCACTGCCGATCCCCCGAAAGTGCCGTCGCCGGAGGAATTGAGAACCGATGTGGCGGAGGCCCAAATGTCACCTCACTAAGAGGTTATACGACAGTCGATCAGCATCGATGGATGATGTTTCTCCTGAGCAATTGCTTAACCGAGAGTGGCATCAGGGTAGCGCATGCGCGCTCAGACGGTGGAGGAGGCAGGCCTGGTGAAAGGCTCGTTTGCACGCCCGGGACCGGAAAGACAAGCCACCCGTCAATAGTCGCGCGGGAGGTTGTTGAGACTTGGAAAAAAATCGACAGGTCGACCGGGTAGATGGTGACTGGGCCGAAAAGCGCGTTCCATCAACGAGCCAAAGGGTGGAACGGATGAGGCTCCCGCGCAGCCAACAACCCCATCGAAAATGTTTCCGGCTGCCTGTCACGATGACAAAGGAGGCGAAAGTCGGGGAGATCACAACATCGGTCTGCTGGGGCCCCTTGATGGTTGAGAGACGAGCAGAACTCGAAAGGGCCTGGGCTCCGGCTCAAGCTCGGTAAGGGGGACGCAGGCAGCGGCAGCGGCAGCAGAAGACACTGACGACAGACGACCGATGATGACAAGAGAGATAGGGAGGGCTCAGGAGGAATGGTGGACCGTACGTACCTTGGATGGTAGGATGGGTAATTTCGCTCATTTTCGCAAAGGACGGGGGTTTTGCAGGGCTACTGTGTAGATATCGACAAGTCAACGACGGAAGCAAACGTCTTTGTTGCAGGCGCAAGCTGGGTATTATATGGCGGAAGGGGAGAGCCAGGACGGGCAGTGGTTCTTACGGGGTCGAGTGTGTATGTGTATGTACGTGTGTTTTCGTTTTTTTCCTTCCTCGTCCTGGTATCGGGCTGAAAATGTGCGTTGACGTCGAGAGGAGACTTGGTATTTTTTTTTTCTTTGCTCCCCCGCCGTTGTACCAGTGCGGTGCGCCAATCCAAGCCAATCGAGGAGCGGCAGCGGTAGCGGTGCGGTCCAGAGCGGCGTCCAGGTGGTGCGCTGCGGTACGGTGCGGGCAGGGCGACAGCGCAAAATCAGGAAGAAAATTTTTGTGGCTCCGGGGTGGCCTCGTTTTGAGATTTGGGACCCAGAATTAGACTCAGGCAAGGCCAATGACTGGCCAGCCCGTGGTTGGGGATCCCCTCTTTGGCAGCTTCTTCCCTCCTCGTTGCGGTCATCAGTGCGC